TATTGGCATGTTTAATTCATCCCCGCAGAGCTCAACATCACTGAAACGCACTGAATTATTCAAAACGCCAGGAGTGATTAGAACAAAGGAAATCAGACTTTTATCAATGTATGGCTAAAAATATGATGGAGTGTGTAATCAGATGAGTATTTAGCTTTAAAACTCACCCCGAGTGACATGCAGACAGGATGCCAGGAGAACAGACCTGAAATCAAACACAGCATAAATACGTGAGATAAACAATACGGATTTTTGGAAAGATTCATTCATTTTGATTTTAGCAATTTAAAACTTTCTACATAAGAAACCCCTAACATAACTTAATGTACAGCTCAGAATTACTATGGTAAAAATTACATTTACACTTATGGAAAAAACAAAACAATTTAGAGACCACTTAGAAATTTTCAATTTCGCTGGATTTATGATTTATAGTCAAGTGCAGTTTTGTTTTATGCTGTAAGCTTGTTATTTTATGCAAAAATATCATTGAAGTGTGGCATGTTTGCACAGTAATGACCAAATGTTGTAAATGCTTTACCTTTAGAAGAGTTAGGAACTCAATACTTGGTGCAATAACCTTCATTTTCAGTCAATTCAATTTCAATTTACCGAAATCATTTGTTATTCTTCTGCACATCTGTCATTTAAAACACAATAAATTACAAATGTTTACTTAAAATTTTGAATAATTAATCGTTTCGCGTATAGTTATAAAAGTGATTTTATATATGCATAATGTGTCTAAGCTTTTTAAATAACATTTGTGAAAAAAAATGTTAAAACATGACCAGAGTAAGATTAAACAATGGGAAATTAAGACATTGGAGGGCCTGATCAAATTTATTCCAGAACAAAAAATTGTAAAACTTTTTTCCCCCACCTAATTTTGACTCATTAACTCCTCACTAAAACACAAAAAATGCAAATAAAAACTGCATAATGACACAAATGTTAAATATTAATGCTAAGAGGTCTCATTTGTAATTTATAAAATTAAACAAAAACGTCATATATAAATTTATCAATCAAAACCAAAGAAGCTGAGAAGAGTTTTCTTAACTTTTAAAAAATATATTCATGTAAAAACATACTTATTTTGCCCTGCAAATATTAAAATATATAAAGTGATCATCATACAGAATTGAATCATATTTTAAGTTACTAAAAATGTATTCCAGACAAATGAGTAAAATTTAGTGGCTTTAAAATAGTGGTAAAAGATGCGCATATTAATTTACAACTGATTATCGCTCTGCTCTGTAATAATGAAAATTGTATTGTGTGTAAATATTGTCTCTGTGAAATTTTTGTTTTAACCCAAGAAAAATGTTTGCTCCTCTAGTAAAACTTGTTTGCTCAGGAAAAAAAACATAACTGAAGGATACATTCTAACGTAGGCTACCCAGATTATGGGCAAAAAAGTAGCACACTTTTATAGATTTGATGCTTGAATACCCTTTGTTTTTGTCTTTTATATCAATCCATGTCTATAATGACCAATAATCTGTGTGGGATTTTAAGTGATGATTATTTACATAAATTATTGTTTTATACAGTGTTTCCAATACACCACAAAGTACAATAGTACCTTAAGGTAACTTACTATGTAACGTTAAATACCATTCGTTTGCCTCAGATCTTCTAAAACTGTCAACTTACAGTATATGTATCGAAATGCTCAAACAAGTGAAAACATATGAAAATAAAGCAATTAAATGTTTCCAACACGCCATAAAGTACCATATTAACCTAAAATAAATTACCATGCAACATTAAATATCATTACTTTGTCTAACCACTTTAAAAACTGTCATCGTACATACACCAAAAATCCTCAAACAGGTGTAAACTTACACAAATTAAGCAATTAAATGTTTCCAATATGACATAAAGTACAATATTATCGTAAAGTAACTTACCGTTTAACGTAAAATAGCACTATTTGCCTCAGTACTTCTAAAACTGTCATTATAAATGTATCAAAATGCTCAAACAAGTGTAAACATGAAAATGAAGCAATAAAATGTTTCCAATATGCCATAAAGTACCATATTATCGCAATGTAACTTACCATGTAACGTTAAATAGCATTACTTTGCCTCAGAACTTCTAAAACTGTTACCGTATCAACATGCTCAAACAAGTGTAAACGTATGGAAATTAAGAAACTAAATGTTTCAAAAAAGCCATAAAGCACCAAAATATATTATAGTTACTTACCATGTTACATTAAATAGCATTAGTTTGCCACACTGCTTTTTAAAATGCCACCATACATGTATTTAACACTCTCAAACAGGTGTAAACATACGCAAATGAAGCAATAAAATGTTTCTAATACGCTATAAATTATCATATTATGCAAAAAACAACTTGCCATGCAGGGTTAAGTTACTTCTAAAACTGTAATTGTATATGTATCAAAATGCTCACACAAGTGTAAACATACGAAAATGAAGCAATTAACGTTAAATGATTCAAAAACCCCATAAAGAACCATATTATCTTAAAGTAACTTACCATGTTACATTAAATACCATTACTTTTGCCTCAGTATTAAAAACTGTATCTTGCTTAAACAGGTGTAAACATCTTCAAGATAATATGCTACTCTATGTCGTATTGGAAACATTTTATTGCTTTATTTGAAGTAACTGAGAATGTAACGAATTAATTTTCCTCAGTAACGTTACTTCTAAAACTGTCATCATATATGTAACGTTACCAAAATTGCTCAGATAAGTGTAAACAAACACAACTGAGGCAATGAAAGGTTTTCTTATACTCCATAAAGAATCAAACGTAGTTCCTGTCTATTTTAAATCAATCTAATAAACCTTGGAAATTAAAATGAAAACTAAAAATAATTTTAATTTTCAAGTTTTTTTATTTATTTGAAATCGGCAGGAACTATATTCCACATTAAAACTGTCCTCACATTTGTACCAAAAATGCTCAAGCAGGTGTAAACAGACAAATGAAGAGAAATAGCTCACTTGTTCCTGGTCTGGACAGTATGGATGTGAGAACGACCAGGCCGAGAGAAACGATGTGCGCCGCGACCACCGACAGCCGGCGGAGCCACACAAAGATCCGAAACTCCCGCATCCCGAGTCCTTCCCCGACCGCACTGTACTTCACATCCATCGGGGAGCGCATCCCTCGCGCCATTCCCAGACACTTCACATCCAACACAGATTACAGATGAACAACTACCTCGAGAGTCATTCCTACAGAGTTTCACAAAACCTGGAGTATCCGCGTAACATACCAACTAACAAACTCTCCTCATTTTAAAAGCCGAGCTGCAGTGGAAAGGTGGGTTTTCCTGTTTAAGTGCCATTTTCGGTGTTGTTGTTGTGAAAGTGACACTTGGAAATGCATTTCCTGGAAAGGAATCCTACTACGGTAAAGGATTGCTTATTAATATTAAGGAGCCATGCCGTTGCGATTGGAAGGTTACCAAGCAACGCGAGATTGGGGTCATTAATATTCAAAAGCAGGGCGTTCGGCATTGGACAGCAGTTAGAGGACGTCAGCAGAGTGTTTGTAATATTCAAACCGAACATGATACGTAAGCCTAATCTACTTAAATATTCATGAGATAAGCTTTTGCCAGCGTGTGCATGACATTTTTAAGAGAAATAGATCACAGAGACACCTAATGGCGAATCGGTGACCCCGTACACACAAACAAAGAGCATTTATTTCCTCTCCATACAATTATTTCCTATCCGGGGGAATAAAGTTATAAACTATACTCTTTCTAAACATCTGTCTCGTGTTTTATTTGTCCTCTACAGCAATACACTGTCATAAGTCTGTTGAATGCATTTTTATGCAACATGGTTGACGAAAGTAGTCTAACTAATAAATGGTTGTTATAAATGTACCTTCACTGGTCAACATTTGGTGTAGGTAATAAGTTAATCAAAGATGCCCTGACATAATGATAATGTTATGGTTGCTACATAACTATTTATTATTATTCTGTATGTTTAAAACCAGCAGAATATATTACATATTTAACATGTCATGAACTTATACTGTTCAAGAATCTGCCTAATAAAAAGGTCATAAGACAAGAATAGGTTTTGTTTTTGTTTTATGTCAAACTACTGTAGGTTTTAGGTCGACTACAGCAGGTATAGGCTACCTATATTATAATATTGGTAGTCAGAGTTATTTTAATATTAAAAAAATACATACATACATACATACACACACACACACACACACATATATATATATATATATATATATATATATATATATATATATATATATATATATATATATATATAAAGTCAGAATTATTATTCATCCCTGTTAATTTTTTCCCCATAATTTGTTTAACAAATTGACATATTTCTAATCATAATAGTTTTAAAAACTCATTTCTAATAACTGATTTATTTTATCTTTGCCATGATGACAGTAAATAATATTTGAGCAGATATTTTTCAAGACACTTCTATACAGCTTAAAGAGACATTTAAAGGCTTAATTAGGTTAACTAGGCAGGTTAGGGTAATTAGGCAAGTTATTGTATAATGATGGTTTGTTCTGTAGACTATCGAAAAAAATTGCTTAAAGGGGCTAATAATTTTGTCCCTAAAATGGTTTGTAAAAAATTTAAAACTGCAAATGGCCTCCACAGTCACCAGATCTGAATCCAACAGAGCACCTTTGGGATGTGGTGAAACAGAAGATTCACATCATGAATGTGCAGCTGCCAAATCTGCAGCAACTGCGTGATGCTATCCTGTTAATATGGACCAAAATCTCTGAGGAATATTTCCTTTACCTTGTTGAATCTATGCCATGAATGATTCAGGCAGTTTTGAAGGACAAAAGGGGGTCAAACCTGGTAATAGTAAGGTGAACCTAATAAAGTGGCCGGTAAGTTTACACGAGTGTGTGTGTGTGTGTGTGTTTGAAATAGCATATACAAAATATCTTTTTCTAAAGAAAACATTAAGAGAAATCGACAGTGCTGAGTATAAAGAATATTTTAATCCATTTTATAAACAACATTTACGTAGCAGCATTGTTCAGTAGATTCTGAGGTATTTTCTGAATTCACAGAGAAATTCACGCCCCCATCTGGTTCATACACACCCACAAACATACATACATACCAACAAACTGACATTCAAAGTAGCATTCACACACACACATGCGCACACGTACAGTCAAACATCCCGAGACCTGCGTCCATAGCTCTGTATGGTAGAGTTCATAGGGCTCGCTCTTTTAGTGGCTTGTAAGGCTGGCACTCTCAGTGGTGCAATTTTGGCTGTAGAAAAAGACAACAGAGAACAATTATTATGATAATCAACCATATGAACAGTTTTGGAAATCTAAAATTATACCTAAACCCCTCCGATAGAAATATGCACAGTATATGTGTATTCCAGCCAAAAGTCTTACGCTCAAAAAGACTGCATTTATCAACATGCAGTACAAAAGGGAAACATCACAGGCTGTTAATATGTTGTGAATTATTACAATTATTAATACAGTTACCGATCACATACAAGTGTTTTACTTTAATACATGGTCATTTTTTGCAGTTATTATTGCATCATGGTCATGTGTGTGATTTTTATGCTTTTGATATTAACAAACATTTTTTTAAAAATTAATTTTTTTCTTTATTAATTATCAATGTTGAAAAAATGAATTATGTTTAATATTATTGTGCACACTGAGATACACAGTACTGCTTTCAGAAAGTATTCATTTCTTTCAAAAAAAACTATGAAGAGCCTTTCACTAGCCTACCGCCCCATTCACACGGGGCTACAGCGTCAATGCTTGACAGAGGGCGTGTCTGAAGTTGGGGCTGACGCGATCGTCATAGTAGCGTTAGCCAATGAAATTAGTCAGCAGTAGGCCACAGTCTGAGCTGGTGTATTTACATAGAGCGATCTGATTGGCTGACGCTTCCGTCGCCGCTTGAAAAGTTTAGCAAGTCCCAATGTTTGCAGCGAGCAACGCCTGACGTCACCCATTCAAAGTGAATGGGAAGCGTTGACGCTGACGCCCCGTGTGAATAGGGTGTAAATGAACAGACATTTTAGACTAACTTGATCATATTTACTAGTAACAATTTAATTTATTAGTAACAATTATTATTATTCTATAAAATTATTAATAAATTCTACTAGTTTAAATAAATGTATAAAATATTCATTTCAAATATGCATATAATAAAATGGATGATTAAAAATATTTAGTTTTAAAATGCATTTCAAGAGTTCACACTTCGATATCGCTTGATAATAACAGCAGGTTGGGCATGCTGGCCGGAGTTCGGAGACATTTTAGCCCAGGGCTCCTCTGGTCAATGAGCATGTGAGGAGTCCGAGACCAGGTAGGTCTCAAGAGCTCCCCCTGGTAAAAAGAAAAAAGAAAATAATGGCTATTTATAGTGCCTTTGGAATAATCCAATTGGCTTACTAATGATTACAGATGAGATACCAGCCGTGATCAATTATATCACGTGCTCCTCTCGAAATTAGTTCAAGAGTTCACACTTAGCTGATGATTGATTATAAAGCTTGTTTGGCGTGCTGTTCCGGGAGAGAGCCGTGAGCTCATAAGATCCTCGAGCCCGGGGCTCCCTCCCGTTTGCAATTTGAGAGGGGAGTTTGAGCTCAGGTAGATCTCGAGAACTCCCCTGCTGTAGTGGCTAATGAACAGATGGTGATTGCTCTTAAGAGATAACGACTTACTAGGAGCATGTCTATGGTGTCGATTTGGATTTAGTCAATTAACTTAAGTTGCATGTTTTTAGACAGTGGGAGGAAACCAGAGAACACGGGGGTAACCCACGTGAGCACGGGGAGAATGTGCAAACTCCACACAGAAATGTCGGCTGGCTTGGAAAGGGCTAGAACAAGTGATGTTCTTACTGAGAGGCAACAGTGCTAACCACTTTGCCACCCATCTAGGAAAGGAGGAGAAGTAAGGGAGGAAGGGGGGATTCTTCAAAACAAAGATGGCTGTGATGTGGAACTTAGGGTATTTATAGTGGCTTAGAAATCATCTGATTGGTGAATCAGAAATTGAATACTGCAGGGCCGGCTGCAAGCAATCATCAGCACGTGATCCTCTCCAAACTAGTTAAATAAATGAACTTAATTATATAAACTTCACTTTACTGAAATATGTATATTTTAAAGGGAACAAATGTTTAATATACACACAAATATGTCAATAAATGGAATATATATATATATATATATATATATATATATATATATATATATATATATATATATATATATATATATATATATATATATTTTTTTTTTTTTTTTTTTATATCAACATATATGAAGATTTTAACAAGTAAAATTATTACATAAATAAATATCAATGCAGATAAATTAAGTATGGGCTCACTTGTACACATTTATCTGCAAGATTGAGAGTTAATTTTTTTTCTCAAAAAATAAAAATAAATTTTACTGGTTTAAACAAATGTATCAAACATCTTTCATAAATAATTCTACATCTTTTAGACATGCATAACACAATGGATTTTTTAAATTATTTAGATTTATGAGGCATTTCACTGCTCCGTGCATATTTAAGGGAACAAATCTATAATAGACATGCAAATATATGGCAATAAATAAAAAAAGAAAAATCCTTCAAAATATTCACTTATATAACTCTCAAATTATGACCAAGTAAAAATAACGCAATACAAATAAAAGCAATGCAGATAAACTAAGTATGGGCCCACTAGTACAAATTCATCTGCAAGATCGAGAGTTAATAATCTTTTAGTCAAAAATGAAAAGTCTAATGAATTCTACTGATTGAAAACAAATTTATAAAATATCCATCTTAAAAATAATTATACACATTTTAAATACGCATATTATCTAGTTTTATAAGGCGCTTCATTGCTACATGCATATTTAAAAGAACGAATCCATAATAGACATGCAATTATGTCAATAAACGGGAAAAATATTTATTTTAATAAAATATTAACATATATAATATGTCTTCCAATATAATATATAACTCTGAATTCATAACAAAGTATAAATAAATAAATAAATAAATAAATAAATAAAATACATATATAAACAAAATCAATCCAAATGAAGTCTGGGCCCACTTGTACAAATGTATCTGCAAAATGGATATATATATATATGTTTTTTCCAAAAAAATCTAATTAAAATTAAAAAAATAAAATTAAACCTGGGTATAATAATAATAATAACTAGAATTGTACATTTCCTAAAGGAAATGTGAATGGGGTTTGCGTGGCAAATCGATGGGGTACAAAATGGTACTAAACTGGGCAAAATAGCAGTAAATGCAGAGAAATGGTTAAATTCATGTGTTTATGTGGTTGCTAGGGTAATGTAAATGGTTGCTAGGGTGTGGCAACGCCTTTGTAATAGGTGAAGACAATAGAGATTTGATCAACCTGCATCAAAAGAACCCAAACCCTGTCTTTCTACGATATTCCTGTGCTAAAATATGGCTTGTTTATGTTGTTATATGGTTGTTAGGGGGCCTAAAGTGGTTGCTAGGGAGTGTCTACAAAATTGTTATGTCGCTACTTAATACCGACTTGATAGGCGGAGTAAAACGAGCCCACTCCCAAGCTTCTACGACTCTCTAATCTAGATATCAATGTCAGCCATTTTGTGTCCATGTTAAGTCTATGGGGATTTTGGGGGTTACTTTCTTGCCCCTCATGGGGGCAGTGTACCCCAACCCTCTTTGAAAAATCATAGCACACCTCTCCTCAACAGGCCGGTCGATTTGACACCTTACTCATCATTCTAGGGCAAAAAATATGGCTGGAGTTGCGCGCCGAAGTTTTGAAAAAGTGAACAGTAATAGTAACACTAGAATTGTACATTTCCTAAAGGAAATGTGAATGGGGTTTGCGTGGCAAATCGATGGGGTAAAATGCATGACCGTACTGGCCAAAAAGCAACAACATGCTAATCGAGGTTGTTCTGAGTGGTTGCTAGGTGGTTGCTATGGTGTTGCTAGGCGGTTGCTAGGGTGTTCTAAGTGGTTGCTAGGTGGTTGCTAAGGTGTTGCTAGACGGTTGCTATGGTGTTCTAAGTGATTGCTAGGTGGTTGCTAAGGTGTTGCTAGGCGGTTGCTAAGGTGTCCAGAGTGGTTGCTAAGGTGTTGCTAGGCGGTTGCTAAGGTGTCCTGAGTGGTTGCTAGGTGGTTGCTAAGGTGTTGCTAGGTGGTTGCTAGGGTATTCTAAGTGGTTGCTAGGCGGTTGCTAGGGTGTCCTGAGTGGTTGCTAGGTGGTTGCTAAGGTGTTGCTAGGTGGTTGCTAGGGTGTCCTGAGTGGTTGCTAGGTGGTTGCTAAGGTGTTGCTAGGTGGTTGCTAGGGTGTTCTGAGTGGTTGCTAGGCGGTTGCTAGGGTGTTCTGAGTGGTTGCTAGGTGGTTGCTAAGGTGTTGCTAGGCGGTTGCTAAGGTGTCCTGAGTGGTTGCTAGGTCGTTGCTAAGGCGTTGCTAGGGTATTCTAAGTGGTTGCTAAGGCGTTGCTAGGCGGTTGCTAGGGTGTCCTGAGTGGTTGCTAAGGCGTTGCTAGGTGGTTGCTAGGGTGTCCTGAGTGGTCGCTAGGCCCTTACTAAGGCGTTACTAGGCGGTTGCTAGGTGGTTGCTAGGCGGTTGCTAGGGTAATTTGGGTGGTTGCTAGGCAGTTGCTAGGGTACCCTGGGTGGTTACTAGGCAAGCCTCACATACATGCCTGATGAAATATTTATACTTAGTAAGCATTTGTAGCAAGTTACAGTACTTGGCTAGTCAATATTAGCATGTAGCTAGTCACTGCTAGCATGTGTAGCATATAGGAAGTTCCGTTTGCTAGCATGAGTCAAACGAGCCAATCCCCAAGTCTCTACGATGTTCCGATGCTGAGATATAGCTGTTGATGAACGGTTGCTAGGGTACTCTGTTTTGTTGCTATGGGCGAGGTTACAGAGTGAACTTGAATGTGGTTGGCTGTCCAAGTCAAATGAGCCAACCCCCAAGTCAATAGGACACTGCTAAGCAAAGATATGCATGTAGAGCTGTTATAATGGCAGTCTATGGGACCAGTTTGGGGGCGTGGCTTGTGAGATTCATTATCATATTGAGATGCCCATTGGTTGTCTGAGTCAGATGAGCCATCCCCCAAGTCAATAGGACACTGCTAAGCAAAGATATGCATGTAGGCCAGTTATAATGGCAGTCTATGGGACCAGTTTGGGGGCGTGGCTTGTGAGCTTCATTATCATACTGAGATGCTGATTGGTTGTCTGAGTCAAATGAGCCCACCCCCGTGTCTCTATGACACTCCTATGTAATGTTATAGATGTCTGACCTTTATAATGGAAGTCAATGGGATCTGCAATGGGACATCCCACCCCATGTTAAGTCAATGGGGCACTTATTAGGGGTCTTTAAGTGGTTTGGGGGGCGTGTCTTGTGAGCTTCAAAATCATAATGAGATGCTGATTGGTTGCCTGAGTCAAATAAGCCCACCCCCAAGTCAGTATGACACTGCCATGTACTGTGATTGACATATGACATTTATAATGGGAGTCAATGTAATGAATGGGAGTCAATGGGCAATGTAAAGTCAATGGGGACCACTTTGGGACGTCCTAGAGCCCCAGGGGTGCGACCTATACCCCCTTTCGGGGTATGTTCTCACTTAGGCTGCAACCCCCTACAGATGTTGTGAATCCCATATTTCTATGAAATTCACAATGGACGCAGTGATTGGTTAAAGTTCGGCTCCATGTAAAGTCAATGGAGACTTTGGGACGTCCTAGCTCCCCAGGGGTACAACATTTACCGCATTTCGGGGTGTGGTTTGAAGCCTCCTATAACCCTCTCGAGATGTCGCGAATCCCATGTCTCTACGAATTTCCCTGTTGGCGCTACGGCGATTTCCGGGAATAGTATCTACGAGTGTCTAGAAAATGAATGGGAGTCAATGGGGCCCATGTAAGTCAATGGGGACCACTTTGGGACGTCCTAGAGCCCCAGGGGTGCAACTTATACCCCCTTGCGGGGTATGTTCTCACTTAGGCTGCAGCCCCCTACAGATGCTGTGAATCCCATATTTGTAGGAATTTCACACTTGGCGCTATAATCTTTCAAAGTTGGGCGTAATGTTGAGTCAATGCGTTTTGGGGGGTGGTTTTGGGGCCCCTGCGGGGCCCCAAAACCACCCACCCCTTATAAAAGTCATAGCACACCATTCCCGATAAGGCCGCACGATTTGAGCCCACTTTCAAGGGTCTGGGACGAAAGCTGCGGGACTAGTTACGCGCCGAAAAAGTGTACGGAAGAAGAAGAAGAAGAAGAAGAATAATAAACCACAATAGTAAGAATGGACTTTGCCTAAGGCAAACCCCATTAACTAGAATTGTACATTTCCTAAAGGAAATGTGAATGGGGTTTGCGTGGCAAATCGATGGGGTACAAAATGGTACTAAACTGGGCAATAGCACTGGAAAAGTAAGAAATGGTGGTTGCTAGGATGTTGCTAGGCGGTTGCTAGGGTATCCTGAGTGGTTGCTAGGTGGCTGATAGGGTGTCCTGAGTGGTTGCTAGGTGGTTGCTAAGGTGTTGCTAGGTGGTTGCTAGGGTGTTCTAAGTGGTTGCTAGGTGGTTGCTAAGGTGTTGCTAGGCGGTTGCTAGGGTGTTCTAAGTGGTTGCTAGGTGGTTGCTAAGGTGTTGCTAGGCAGTTGCTAAGGTGTCCTGAGTGGTTGCTAGGTGGTTGCTAAGGTGTTGCTAGGCGGTTGCTAGGGTGTCCTGAGTGGTTGCTATGTGGTTGCTAAGGTGTTGCTAGGCGGTTGCTAGGGTGTTCTGAGTGGTTGCTAGGTGGTTGCTAGGCGGTTGCTAGGGTGTTCTGAGTGGTTGCTAGGTGGTTGCTAAGGTGTTGCTAGGCGGTTGCTAAGGTGTCCTAAGTGGTTGCTAGGTGGTTGCTAAGGTGTTGCTAGGTGGTTGCTAGGGTATTCTAAGTGGTTGCTAAGGTGTTGCTAGGCGGTTGCTAGGGTGTCCTAAGTGGTTGCTAAGGTGTTGCTAGGCGGTTGCTAAGGTGTCCTAAGTGGTTGCTAGGTGGTTGCTAGGGTATTCTGAGTGGTTGCTAAGGCGTTGCTAGGCGGTTGCTAGGGTGTCCTGAGTGGTCGCTAGGCCCTTACTAAGGCATTACTAGGCGGTTGCTAGGTGGTTGCTAGGCGGTTGCTAGGGTAATTTGGGTGGTTGCTAGGCAGTTGCTAGGGTACCCAAGGTGGTTACTAGGCAAGCCTCACATACATGCCTGATGAAATATTTATACTTAGTGAGCATTTCTAGCAAGTTACAGTACATGGCTAGTCAATATTAGCATGTAGCTAGTCACTGCTAGCATGTGTAGCATATAGGAAGTTCCGTTTGCTAGCATGAGTCAAACGAGCCAATCCCCAAGTCTCTACGATGTTCCGATGCTGAGATATAGCTGTTGATGAACGGTTGCTAGGGTACTCTCTTTTGTTGCTATGGGCGAGGTTACAGAGTGAACTTGAATGTGGTTGGCTGTCCAAGTCAAATGAGCCAACCCCCAAGTCAATAGGACACTGCCAAGCAAAGATATGCATGTAGGCCAGTTATAATGGCAGTCTATGGGACCAGTTTGGGGGCGTGGCTTGTGAGATTCATTATCATATTGAGATGCTCATTGGTTGTCTGAGTCAGATGAGCCATCCCACAAGTCAATAGGACACTGCTAAGCAAAGATATGCATCCAGCCCTATTATAATAGAAGTCAATGGGATGAGTTTGGGGGCGTGGCTTGTGAGCTTCATTATCATAGTGTGATGCTGATTGGTTGCCTGAGTCAAATGAGCCCACCCCCTTGTCTCTATGACACTCCTATGTAATGTTATAGATGTGTGACCTTTATAATGGAAGTCAATGGGATCTGCAATGGGACATCCCACCCCATGTTAAGTCAATGGGGCACTTATTAGGGGTCTTTAAGTGGTTTGGGGGGGCGTGGCTTGTGAGCTTCAAAATCATAATGAGATGCTGATTGGTTGCCTGAGTCAAATGAGGCCACCCCCAAGTCTGTATGACACTGCTATGTACTGTGATTGACATGTGAGTCAAGAAATGAATGGGAGTCAATGGGCAATGTAAAGTCAATGGGGACCCCTTTGGGACGTCCTAGCACCCGAGGGGTACAACTTATACCCCCTTTTGGGGTATGTTCTCATACAGGCTGCAACCCCCTACAGATGTTGCGAATCCCATATTTCTACGACTTTCACACTTGGCGCTATAACGCTTTAAAGGTCGTCCCATTTCGCGGGGGCGTTAGTGCTGTTCTAGAAAAATGAATGGGAGTCAATGGGGACAATGTAAGTCAATGGGAGCACTTTGGGACGTCCTAGAGCCCCAGGGGTGCAACTTTTACCCCCTTGCAAGGTATGTTCTCACTTAGGCTGCAACCCTCTACAGATGCTGTGAATCCCATATTTCTATGAAATTCACACGCGGCGCTGTGAGTCGTCAAAGTTTGGCTCAATGTTAAGTCTATGGGATTTTTGGGGGGGTTTTTTGGCCCCTGCGGGGCCAAAAAACCCCCGACCCCTTACAAAAGTCATAGCACACCATTCCCGATTAAACCGGACGATTTGACACCACTTTCAAGGGTGTGGGACAAAAGCTGCGGGACTAGTTACGCGCCGAAAAAGCGCACGGAAGATGGAAGAAGAATAATAATAAACCAGCACAATTGTAAGAATGGACTTTGCCTAAGGCAAACCCCATTAATAATAGTACTACTACTACAATAATGTTGGTGTAGCTATTAAAATACATTGAACTGTAGATCAGCATAGACAGTACCACCTATTGAACTCGGTGTTGAACAACCACCTCACATCTGCAAAAACTGGCTGCACAGTCACTTCACTGTGATGAGAACAGAGAACAAGTCAGATCCAGCCCTAAACACTCCCTCACCTTTTGTGTGCTGAGTTTCTTCTCTCCTCCTACAGAGAGTCCCGACCCTTTGCTTTCCTTCCAGGTGTAAAAGCCGGAGTGAGGGGACGTGGGCAGCCGGTGGGGTTTGGAGGGCGGAGACGACCCGCTGCTCTTGCGTTTCTTCCCCAAACTCTTATGGTCAAAGCTGGACACCCTGAGTCCCGAGTCCAGTCCTCGGCTGTCCGGGGCCGACTGATGTGTCCTCTTAAAGGCCCACGAGGAAGGGGAGTGAGAGTCCGAGGGCCTTGCTTTGCTTCCGGGCGAAAGCGAGCCGTTAGTTTGTCCGTGAGAGGCTGACGGTGGTGTTTTGCTAATGAGAGGACGACTCTTGTTCTGGGGCACGCAGTTCTTGTCCGGGCTGACGGCTGAGTCAGAGTCTTCGAAAGAGGCTTTTCGCTTGCGCAGTGCAGCGGCGTCCGGTGTGGGCGTCCGATCTGATTCCCTGAGACGCATCTGCTGTTTGCTGGGTCGCCCGACTGGGTTTTTGGGCCTCCCGGGGCCCGATTGAGAAGGAGATCGTCCGAGTTTACTGGAGCCAGAGTTCTCGGACTGAGCATAAGCCTTGCTGGTGGAGGAACTCTGCGGGTTTGGCTCCTTGCCTGGTCCGTGGGAAGAGTAGAAGGAAGTCTTGAGAGAGGAAGTCGTGTTGTGACTTCCTGCTCTTGGTTTGGAATGCTGGGAAATGGAGGAAGGAGAGGCAGGAACGGCTGCAGGCTTGGCTTGGGGACTCTGGGATTGAGGATCTGATGCTTGAGGTATTTTTCTGAGAGAGGGAGAGGAGTCAGGGTTGAACATATATGTATATATCAGAAGAGCAATCACTTTTTCACATGCAGTACAGGGAGTAAAAAACAGGGTTTTGTTAGGGCCTTGAAAAGCTTCAGCTAATAGGGATTAACCTCAGAGCTACCTTCGAGAAACAAACACTCATAAAGCGAGAAGATCTTGGCACGGGCTCAAAGCACGCAATCTGGGAGCGAATCTCACAAAACCTGTCAGGAACAAGCTCAGCTCACATTTCACCCCGAAATCAAGTGACAAAATGTAAGAGTATTTGAGTAATCTGTTGAAGTAACTGCAACTTTTCCCCACACAATTCAGAAATATTAACTGGGAATTGTGATATTTGTAAAACTAAGACCTGAGAAATGCACACTCGCAGTTAAGGAAAACAAATTGGGTTGCACTTTAAATTAGGTGGCCTTAACTAATGTGTACTTACACTGAAACTAGTCATTTGTTTCAATGTACTTATTGTGTAAATACATGCTTTTACATCATATTTGTGATTAAATACCTGCATGTAATTACATCTATAATTTATTTCTGTTGTAACATCTTTAATTACACTGTTGACCATCCCTTACACCTTAACCTACCCTTAAACCTACCCATACCCCCAAACCTTTCCATAATCCTACACGTATTCCACCTCAAGAGCACCAGAAGTGTTCTGCAATACATACATGCAAGTACAAAGTAGTTAAGGTCACTTGAACAACAAATTGTAAGAATTGTGATAAATAAATGGCTGAGGTTTTTCCACACAATCGGGTGTTTAACATGACACACACACACCTTCTGTCTGGTTCTTGAAACTGATTGGCTGATAGTCGAGCAATATTCTGTATTAACAGCACTCGTACAGCCTCCTCACCCTTCTGTATTACTCCGCCCAAATCGAGTGACAGCAGATCAATAAACTCACTACAGTTTGACAAATATTGCAGCTGTTGGACAACATAATGTACTTTTGAGCCTATTTTTGGTGAGAATGTAGTTGTTTAGATTATATATATATGCAGTTTATTTATAAGGATAGCATCTATTTTTAATATATTTAAGTTTCATAGATTTAGTGCACCGGCATCCATCAGCCTGTCATACTGAGCAGAGCAAAGATGATTGACGATCGGCCACAAGATGGCGAGAGAGACATAAGCCCAAATGCTGCATTCACAACTGACGCGGAACACTTGTCAAGCTCGAGTGATTTACACGTTGAGTCAATGCAAATGCGCAAAAACAACCTGCGGCACGATGTACGCGAATGACGCGAATTGCGCGAATAGCGCAACACGAATTGAGCATTTTGTGCATCTGACGCGTTTAACGCGCATTTTGTACAAACCGGTCGAGTTCAAAAATCTGAACTTAAGCGGACAATACTGTCATGTTAACCATTAAGGAGCTTGCTCTTGTGGGGGCGTGATTGTGACGTATGCCTGTTGTTGGTGTCCTGGGGGAAATCCTCCAGCCGACAATGACAACAGTTCATCAAACTGGGCTTGGCTCAGTCAGAAGCACCGCTGAAAGCTTTCATCATCCACATTAAGTTTCTGGAGGACTTTGTGAGCTCAGCTGGATGCACCTCTGAAATGATTTAGTGAGCTCAGACACGGCGTTAAACGTATCAACGCTGTTTTTCAGCCTTCATTAAACCCATAAACACGGTTATTTTCTTAATAATATCCATGTTAGCCATTTGGCAACGAAGCTAGAGTCACCGGGCAGACAGAAGCCCTGCCCAACACGCGAATCCGCGTCTGTTTTGACTTGAATTTGACACGCGAATGAAGCGAGTAAACTCAAATGTTCATGCCGCCATTTACGCGTGAATAAACCGTTTTATCCGCGCGTTCCGCGTCTGGTGTGAACACAGCATTAGAAGAGAAAAACAGCGGAATTTCAAGCTACAGCTGAACAAATCATTATAAATTAGGTAAGTAAGTCGATCTCTTTTTGTATGTTGTAGTTCTGTTTTTATACCATAGTAATCAGGTAGTGTTTCTGGTAGTATTTGCTTTGCTTTGACTTTTTCACGGTTATTTATTGTGATCTCCCGATTGCAACAGAATTACTGGGAAATGTCTCTACTAAGGCACTCGGCCTGTGGTGTCGTGCACTCTTCCCACCAGTGCCGATATACAGACATATCACACTGCTACTCATGTGATATACACTCAAAAGATTACTTGTCTGCAATGGTTTTGTGAGATGACTCTGCCAGCGTTAACACATCACTTCATTGTCTTGCATCTATGACACAATATGATAAAGCATATGCAGGTCTGCTAGGTTCTTACTTCCACAGATGGGCACTGAGATGGCTCTCCACCATGGCACTCATGGCAGACCGTAGATGGTGTAACCGTCGATCAAAAGTGAAGACACCGTGACCCAGAGAATGACTTCCAAATGAACAAAGCTGTTGGGGGGGAAAGCAAAGAATTAACACGAATACTCTCGGTCTCTTTTTTAATTACAAACTGTATAAACTGAGAAACAAGAAAGAAAGAAAGAAAGAAAGAAAGAAAGAAAGAAAGAAAGAAAGAAAGAAAGAAAGAAAGAAAGAAAGAAAGAAAGAAAGAAAGAAAGAAAGAAAGAAAGAAAGAAAGAAAGAAAGAAAGAAAGAAAGAAAGAAAGAAAGAAAGAAAGAAAAAGGAAAGAGAAAGAAGAAAAAAGAAAAACAAGAGAGATGAGAAACAAGAACAAAACAGGGATGTCAGAGGGGACTGATGAATGGAGTACATGCTTCTCAATATGGATTATTTTTTGGTTTGATCAATTATAATATTTAATGCATAACCTTTATATTATAGTTATGCACTTCTATTATAATTGTTCAAACTAAAAACCTGATCCACTACATTTACAGAGATGCTAGATGACCCAGTGGAAGAGTTAACTTGTACCGCTGCAGGTTTGGGATGCCATGGAGTGGAGTGCCAGTCTGCAGGCTCCTCGTTGGTCTCTCCTTCGCTCTCATCACCTGAGATGTGGGCCTGTGTGAGAGGTGAGTGCGCTCGAGTGCTGCTTTCCTCCAGATGGGTTTTATCCTCCTCTATGCTTTCAGATGATACAGGTGTTCTGCCAACACAAACACAGATAAATGGATGCCGTTAGCCTTCATTGTTACTTTCAATGGGAAACAAAAGGTTGCATACAGTATATCTATGGGGCATATGCACACACACTTTTCATTTTCATTTTAAATTTTGAGGCGAGTTGTTGCGCAATTACAAAATAGCCACGATTAAGATCTTCACTACCTGCTTGATATACGATATAACATGGTTATCAGACTGTACAAGAAGAACTTTTATTTTCAATGGAGTTTCTGCGCTTGCCTGCTGCTACTGACATTGCAAGCGTTGCATTTTTTCATCACGTTTCATGTCTAAACAAGTAAATAAATGCTTTGATACATTTAACTGATTGTATTTTGACGGATTTGTATTTTTAATGCTGTAAAAGAAAACTTACGAAATTAAAACGCCACATAAAACGTTCACCGGAAGCCAATCATTGGCTGAAAACACTAGCTGTGCATAGAACCCTGTCACTTTTATTAAGTAATTTTATTAAGATGTGGCTCAAAGGACTGATCAAATAATTCCTTTCTTTTTACAATAGATTTCAATACAAACTAAAAACAAATGAGCATCACATGTAATCGAGTTTTAACCTCAAAAAGAAAATAAATAAACCAGCTTTCTAATAATGTCAGGAAGCATTATTTTTACCTCAGTTAAGTCATTTATTGGCCAAAGCTTGGTAGTTCACTAGAGAAATTAACTCCAGAAATAAACCCTTCTAAAAATAATTGAGCAGTTTTAGCCTGTTAGTAAAGTCTTACCTAATTTATAGTCCGTTTAAATAAACTAGTCATGAATGCAAAATGTAAAAGTCAATGTACAAATGATATACAATAAATTAAAGTAGAAACTATTTTGTTCATCTAAACATGGTTTAGAAATTAATGTTATTACCCAATTTACATTTTTATTTGACACCCACTGAATACTGAAAAGTTTTTTAAATTCAAAAAGGCAAGACTTAAAAAAAAAATAATAATAATGTTACACATACTGTTTGCTATGGAATATTGCTATGAAAGCTTAATATCTCAAAATCATTCAGATAGAACCTTATAATTCCAAGGTGACAAAATTATTATTATTCCACTTATTTATAAAAGTAAATTAAAAAATTATATATATATAAAAAAAGTTACAAAAATTATAATAATAGTACAATTCTGCAGTATATATATAGATGATACTTAAAAAATACTTTAAAGGTCCCGTGAAGTGCTTCGAAATGTGCATTTTTTATTCAATGCTTGATGTAATCAACTAAAAAAGGAGAGGGAGGGACAGAGTAGCCCCTCCCCTTTGAAAAAAAACAGCCAATAGCATTTTGTTTTTATCACAGCTCTACCAGTGAGATTGGTCGAGCTTAAGCACATCAAACAAAAAAGCAAATTAAAAAAGTATCCTGTAGGGGGCGAGGCATGTCAGATACAAGAGAGCATCTGATTGGTCAAGATTTGATGAGAAATTGGAAAAAACAAAAAACAAAAACAAAGTTAATCCATTTGGGCAGAAGTGACAAACTACAAGCTTTACATGTTTATATCAGTTTGATATCTTCAAAATGCAAACTGTGTTGCTGTTTTGGAGCAAAATAGCTTATATATCCTTAAAACTAACATCTAAAAACTGTTATTTCATTTTCACAGGACCTTTAACAACCAAAATATAAAGAAAATAACTACTACATTAAACATTTTAGATATGTATGAATTCAATAAATATGAGCATTCTCTTGATATATTCAAACCTAAATGCTGGGCTGTTGGTCAGGGGTCTCCGGCAGGACGGGGGTGCAGGTGTATCTCGAGGCGGTTCTGGACTGACACTCGGAGCGGAGGAACTCTCTGGTGCCTGAGAAACCCGTTCACGAGCCTTCGAGCTCATCTTCAGCTCCGCCACCAGCTGGTCAAAGTTTTTACTTCTGCCCTGCACTTTTCTGCGCTGATGAATGGAATGAATCTAGAAGACAGATCATTTATTTATTCATTTCAAACAGACACTTTGCAGCATACAGAGTCCTTCATAAAACATAAGCAAATTACCATGAAGTGATGCGAGTGAAAGCGCTTCATCATCATTGTGCTTTTGGATTTTGTGGATTATTAGACACTGATGCTGAAATCAGCTTGCATGATTTTGAAAGTAATCGTGTCACAGATGTTTTAACACTGCATAACTATCTGTGGTAGCTTTCCATCGCTGTTGTGTTTACACTGCGAGATGGATCAGTGACAGGGGATTACAAACTGCATGACTTTATAATAGGAATCGCCGACAACTTTGGTTGTGAGACGTAGTTTGTGGACAAAGACAAACACACCCAAAAAGTGACATAAAAACAACGTGAGGTCACGCAGTATATTTTTTGTTATTTACCTTATAATGAGAAAGAAGCCTTTAGTGAGGTAGAAAATGTACTTATTTTGCTCATCCGGGTTTTAAAGGAAATTAGCAATTTCTCCTTAACTTTTTTCTTTTTTGAGCCTGCTGTGGTATTGCTTAAATGCTCCTGCCAAATTTACACTTATTTTTCCTTCATTTCTTGGGTCCAAATAGATCTAAATAGGCCCTTTAACATCTCCCCAACCTCCCGCTGGCCTGCAGATACCCATAATAGTGGATGCTGCTCTCTCATTGGCTGTACTGTAGGTAATTGCCGACGTTTTTTTCCAATCAGAACACATTTCACACAATGATTTTGAATCACCAACAGCTCCAGATATTTAGCATGACAAATATATGGACGCGTGTCGGCGACTTATCAACGATTCTCTCAGATTGTGTCTTTGATAGTTTACACTATATGATTGTTATTCAGGTGAATGAGCATCGATTTGCCTGTGATTTCAGCCATTTATATTTTTTTTAAACCAATCGGCGAGTCAAAATTGGGGCTAAAATCATGCAGTCTAAACTCGGCATAGGGGACTATGTAGTTTGGATAAATAAATTAGATCCTGATGACTGCACAATGCAAACAACATGTTTTTTATATAATTGTATTTATACCTTTTTTACAAGTCATGTAGAACCATGCTCTACATTTTGAAGATTCATTGAAAAATGCATTATATTAACTATTCCAAGAAAATTAGTCTGAAAAAAGTTGTAATTTTAATATACTTTCATTTGTTCTTATTGTTTTAAAAGAGATTCGAGTTCACTCAAAATTGAAAATATACTCACCCTTATGTGATTTTTACCTTTATGACTTTCTTTATTCTGTTGAACACTAAAGTAGATATTCTGGGAAAAGATGAAATCCTGTAACCACTGACTTTCATTGTTGAAAAAACAAATATGGAAGTTAATGGTTACAGGTTTTCAGCATGTCTCAAAATATCTTCTTTTGTGGTCAAGAGGAAAGAAACTCAAAGGTTTCAAACGAGTAAAGGATGAATAAATGATGACAATTCTTAATTTGGGGTGAACTGTCCCTTTAATTACTTAATATCACTTGTAAGAATCGCTAAAACACTCTTCAAGTTAAAAAAATTTCCTGTGAAGTGTATCACATCGCATTCACGCCCCTAAAACCATTTTTTTATAAGTCATGTAGCACCGTGCCTTACATTTTGAACAACATTACAGTATTTGAGTTGTTGATAAATACATTATAGTAATTTTTGGATTGTGAATACTGCAATTATCATTAATATACATTTCATTATGTCACTTAAAGTGTTTTGTTTTGTTTTAAAATGGATAGTTCACTCAAATGAAAATATACTCACTATTTACTCTCCCTCATGTGGTTATAAACCTTTATGACTTTCTTTATTCTGTTGAACACTAAAGAAGATATTTTGGAGAAAGATAAAATCCTGTAACCACCGACTTTCATTGTTGAAAAAACAAATATGGAAGTCAATGGTTACAGGTTTTCAGCATGTCTCAAAATATCTTCTTTTGTGTTTAACAAAAGAAACTCTTATAATGTTTAAAAACAAGTAAAAGATGACAATTTTCATTTTTAGGCGAACAATCCATTTAATTACTCAATCTCACTTGTCTGAAGTATCAATAAAACACTCAAATCTTCAAATTATACAAGTTTCCTATGAAGTGTATTAGGATGTTGGTAAAAAGAAACATAAGTATAACAATATATTAATTCTTATGAATCCTAAAGATATTTTTAAGTAGTGCTACACAAATGAACAGAGGTCTTTCCTGCAACCCCTTCCCTATTTCCTGTTAGTCATGTCCGCTGAACTTCCTGTCACTCTATAGGCTGAAATCAGTGTCCACTAAAAGGCTTCAACACTTAGACAGAAATATACAGTTAAAGTCTAAATTATCAGCCCTCCAGTGAATTTTTTCCTTTTTTAAATATTTCCCAAATAATGTTTAACAGAGCGAGGATTTTTTCACAGCATGTCTGATAATATTTTTTCCTCTGGAGAAAGTTTTATTTGTTTTATTTTGGCTAGAATAAAAGCAGCTTTAATTTTTTTTTACTATTTTAAGGTGAATATTATTAGCCTCCTTAGGATTTTTTAAAGTGTCTACAGAATAAACCCCTGTTACACAATGACTCGACTAATTAACCTAACCTGCCAAGTTATCCTAGTTAAGCTTTTAAATGTCACTGTAAGCTGAATACTAGTATGTTGAAAAACATCTTGTAAAATATTATGTAGTCATCATGGCAAAAGTAAAAGAAATTATTAAAAAATTAGTTATTAAAACTATTATGATTAGAAATGTGTTGAAAAAAATATACAGGGGGCTAATAACTGACTTCTACTGTACATTTACCATTTAAATACAGGACAGCAAAATGCATCAAACAACAATTCTGCTTTCCAGAATATTCCATCTGAACTCTGAAGACCAGCATACATGTTCACTCTGAGCTAGAAACACTGGTAACATGTCATTGTGAGATGATGTGGAAGTGGTGCTCAACTCACATTGCAGGTCAGAAGTCGAGTACACACTTTCTTTCTCTCAGTGTCCAAAACACCACAGTGTTTGTCAAGGTCACATTCTTTTTCTGTGGAGCACAACAAATTTTATGATCAAATTCAGGATTTAATGCATTACAACACCTTGTTTGGATGGAGAAAGAGTTGTTTACTGCCATATCAGCTAACATGGCAAAAACAAACAAGATAAATAACCCTTTTCTATACTAAACAAGATTTTAACAATACAAATGTTAACAGCATGGGCGATTTTAGAAAATTGCCTGTGCTCAACAATGAATAATACATAAAATAAATAGTTATACATTGTAAGGATACACATTTAATAAAAATTCTCTCCCGATTATAAATGTCTCATTACATTAAAAGTAGCGCATTGCAAAATTCTGTTACACAGTGCCTGAAAATAGTCCCCAGCTAGGTAACAGCGCTGTGTAGTGATGCGCGGATGGCGGTTATATGCGCGGGTGCTGCGGATAATCTAAGGGTCCGGTAATAAAAAAATACATTATGATTAATTGCGGGTCGGTTGCAGGTGGATATATCAGGACATGGCAGTGGATCAGCGAAAAAGCGGAGAGTGGGTTTTGCAGAATGGAAAGATATGAGACGCCCAAAAATTATGGATGAATTGCAAGAGTAGCCTACTGTTCAAAGTTTGAGTTAGAGGAGTGCACCTCAGAAAGGATCTAGTGGACAAGGCACCGAACAAATATGTGCAGTTTTTCAGCCTTCCTAAAGCACAGCTACACTCTCAATAAAATCCATGTTAGCTAGAGTCACTGGGCAGACAGACACCATGCCACGAATCCGTGACTATTGTGAAGTGAATTTGACGAGAGAATGAAGCAAATATGATGCGCTAATGATGTGAGTACACTAAAAATGTTCACATGTCTATTTACATGTGAATAGTGCAATTTATTAATGCATGCCACGTGAATAATGTGAACACAGCATTAGTACAACACTAGTACTACCATTAGTACAACCACAGAACAGTCAAGCTTTAAACAGGAAAATTACTCAAACTTTTTGGACATTTGTGCGAACTGCTAATGGTCTAATCTGATTCAATGATTTATGCTTAGCTAAGCTAAAAGTTCTCCTGGCAGACACAAAGGTGAGCTGAATGGATACAAACATGGTAAAACTCAACTGTTCAACTATATTCGCCTTGTAAAATGAGCCCATTTAGAAAAAAATGGAGAGTTCCTTTAACGACATACATTGTTTTTTTCCCATGAATTGAAAATCTCATAAATTGAGGAAAAATCCAAAAGGAAACTCAATCATTCTTCCAAGTTCTGATGTCATTCCTGCAGCACTTCATAAATAATATACTGATAATAAATCATATACTACGTCTTTTTCTATAAATCACATATCTCAGTCAGACTTGGATTGATGTCATTTAACGGGTTTTCACAGGACTTACTAGAGACCATCTTGTGCGTCTTGGTTCCTCTGAGGTGTCCGGAGGGGACAGGGGCCGATGCCGCCTCTCCTCTCTGTGATTGAGGTCTTTCAGCTGCAGGTGGCAGCCGGTTAGGCGAAGGGCCTCCATGTGGCCATGGAGGGTCTCTGTGGGCCGGGGGAGGAGAGCTTCGAGTGGGCTCAATTGGAGGAGGCTGCTTAAAAACAGCTGATTCTGAATGAGCCGAGTTTGAAGAGTTTGAAGGCGAGTGCCTGAGGGGAAACATCAACATTTATAAATTACACGGGTTGACCAACTTTTACAGCTGAGGTCAGAAGGTTTTGCCTCCGTTTGTGATTTGAAATCTGCATTATTTGGAGAATGATTACTGTTTTTTTTTTTACATGATTTGTGGTTTCGCTATCACAGATTCTGTCTCGAAAAAAATCCTCCCATTTGAACATTACTGAACAAGTAGCATCTTTGAAACTGTAGTTCTGCCTAAACGACCACAAAATAATAATAATAATAATTATAATAATATACATTGTGCTACCAATGGTGATTAAGTCTTAAGGCTGTTTGGCAAACTATGCAAAATCATTCCAAAAATAACATTATTATACTTCGTTCTATTATAATTGTTACTGTAACAACATCTGCATAAAGTGTCTGTGTGTAGGCATGGGACAATAACCGTTTTCAAGGTATACTGCAGTTTGGAAAAGTCAAGGTTTTAAAACCACCAACATTTTCTGCTATACCATTCCTAGGGTTTGTGTAAGATTATTTATTTACGTTTTTTTTTGACAGCAGAAGTCAATGATTCATTTGAATTATTCAGCCTGAAATAATTACTGCTCCAAAATATTATGAATGTTTCTCAAATTAAATTATACTGTATTTAAAGGAGGAAAAAGTTATTGTTTATTACCCAGACATTTAAAAAGAGCATATATTAGAGCAGTAATCACAATACTGTGAAACCCTGATATTTTTATCCAAGGTTATCATACCGTCAGAAACTTCTACTGGCCTATGCTTAGCTGTGTGTACTTGGTGCACATTACCTTTAGGTTTAAATTGTGGGACCATCCAAATTTCATATAAAGTAACCTGTGCTTTTAACCCTTAAAAGCACATTAACGTTCCATGAAACAGATAGGACAAAACAATGAATGGTGACAAGTTTGTATTTCTGCAAAAATCTGCCACAAAAATTTAAATTAGAGAACATTACAAGCGAACCAATATAAATCAGCTTAAAGTCTGTGTAAACCAGAAGTTGCAATGACTTATTTCAGTAAGTTGATGTACTTCCAACTAAAACTGAATATTGAGAAGGGGGCGGGGCTTTCTTTTTGTGCATCATTCTCTTGTAACAAATGAACAGTAAGATGGGCGTGGCTAAGAATGTAATGGTTAAAAACACCGCCACCACAATGATGGAAAAAAAAATGGTCCGACTTTGTTTGTTTTGGTAATCTTCAATCAGTTTTTCATAGATTAATTGTTTACTTAAAGATAAAAAAAACTGTAAACTGTAAATGTGTAATTTATACAGACTTTGAGGTTCTGTGAATGTTTTGATCTCTCCCTTATGTACAGTTAACGTCAAAACAGTTAACCTCCTGTGATTTTTTTGTTTTTCTTTTATAAATATTTCCCAATTTATGTTTAACAGAGAAAGGATTTTTTCCACAGTATGTCTGATAATATTTTTTCCTCTGGAGAAAGTCTTATTTGTTTTATTTCGGCTAGAATAAAAGCAGTTTTTAATTTTATATAACCATTTTAAGGTTAAAATTATAAGCCCTCTAAAGCAAGATTGTTTTTCGATTGTCTACAGAACAAACCACTCTAAAGCCACGGTCACACTGCCCTTTTCACCCCCTAGACTTCCACTCATATGCACGCGAATGCAAACGCAAGCTCGTGTGACAAGTTGTACAGATCGCTGCATTGGAAAGTTGAAGCTTGGTGAATTCTGACCTGCGAAATTGCATCACTTGACTTTGTGAGACCAATCAAAAATCAAAACATGACCTGTACGGAAATTTAAAATATGGACCAATCGCTCGCTTTTTTAAATGTCTAATCATCTCGTTTAATCCCGCCCCTTTTCACGCGATTCGACAGAAATCTGCAACCTTAAACTCTAGTGTGACTGCAGCATTATACAATGACTTAACTAATGACCTTAACTAGCCTAATTAACCTAGTTAAGCCTTAAAATGTCTCTAAGCTGAATACTAGTATCTTGAAAAATATCGAGTAAAATATTATGTACCGTCATCATGGCAAAGATAAAATAAATTAGTTATTAGAAATAAGTTAATAGCTGGCGTAATAGCCTAGTGCTGACATATGGTGCAGTAGCACTTCAGGGCGTCCAGAGTTCGAATCCCAGCTCGGGGACATTTCCTAACCATACTCCCCTCTCTCTCTCCCACTTCGCTTCCTGCCTCATCACTGTCATTTCTAATAAAGGCAAAAAGGCCAAAAATAAATCTTAAAAAAAAAGAAGAGATGAGTTATAAAAACGATTATGTTAAGAAATGTGTTGGAAAAATCTGTTAAACAGAAATTTGGGGAAACAATTAACAGGGGGGCTAATAATTCAGGAGGGTTAATAATTCTGACTTCAACTGTGCTTGCTAAAATTAATTTGGGATCATTTTAACAAAAAACAAAGGTACAAACTGCAACCTAAAAATAAAAGACTAACTGAATCTTACCAAACTCCATCTTTCGGAGGTTTTGAGTGTCTGAACTGAGGCGGTGTAGCTGGGGATTGCGGAGATGCTCGCGGGGGCCCCACGTTCTGGTTCCTGCCGCTCCAGGAGGCGGTGGCTCCGTGTGATGGTGGCGTGTGTCCGTGACGGGGTCTCTGCTGCTGGGATGGAGGTGGAGTGGAGCGGAGGTGTGCATAGAGCTTACCCAGAGGGCCGTGCCTCCTCTCGCAGTGCTTCTCGAAGGCCTGAGGCTTCACCACCTGACTGCAGTGGCTGCACACCACCAGGTAGAAGTCATCTTGACCAGGATAATGTCCAAAAATGGACATATCTGCGCAAGCAGAGCAGAGAGTGGGGACAAATTAGCTTGGCTTGATATGTTTCTAATGGAAATATTTGGCCCAGAAAATAAAATGGGTGTTAACATGCTAATGCTAGTTAGTTTATACTAATGTGCCTTAATATAACTTAGTTAAAGCTGCATTGACCAATATGGCAAAAATTTTTTACTGCATACAGCAGGGGAAGTATTCATCATGCCATGTTTTTTTGGGTGGGAATAATTGTTTCTAAAGGAGTTGTTGACATGGAATAGAAGCAGATTTTGGTAAAAAAAAAAAAAATCTAAACAATACAAACATAAGAGTAAAACAAACATCAAAAAACTAAAATTTGGAAATGTGTAGTAACAATGAAATGACAAGGAGTAATTTTTGGTGATGGCAGCTTAAAGACAACTTTCATATGAGAATGAAGAAGAATGCATTGTTAAAGCCTGTGGAGGGAGAAAAATAAATAAATAAATAAATCACACCCAAGCAGAATGCAAAAATCTTGATGGTTCTGTGGGTCTCGTCTATCAAATTTGATCTTTATTTTGTATTTTCTATTGGATTCAAGTCAGGTAATTGGCTGGGCCATTCTACAGCTTGATTTTCTTTCTCTGAAAGCATTTGAGAGTTTCCTTGGCTGTGTTTTGAATTATTGTCTTGCTGAAATGTCCACTCTAGTTTCATCCTCATCATCCTGCTAATGTTGGACTGAAGCAGTTAATATTGGTTTACAATGATGAAGGGCAATGGGTTGCTAAATAAGAGATTTCAGCTGCTGTCTGGGCTTTCACTGACTTTCTACACCTTCCTTCATGTGTTCAATACTTTTTCCCTGTGTCATTTCATTTAATTACACAAATTCATTTGTAATCTAATTAAATTTGTTTTCTTTGCATATGTGGATTTCTTTGGTTTTAAACCAACAATCGGTAAATTTCAAGTCAGCAGCACCTTTGGAAATATGTCTTCTAAGAAAAATGTTGATGTGTTTAATACTTATTTCCCCCACTGTATAAAACACAAAAACTATATTTCACCAAGTAAAATAAAAATTAAAGAGATTTATAAAATTGTGCCATTTCTGATATTAGACAGATTTAATAAAACCGAACACACACACAAAAAAAAGTCACATTTTTATTTATGTTTTAAATAGCTTGATTCTTGCCCAAAACCTCACAAAGGCATTTATACAATTTCATTTTCAATTTTGGGTATGACATTTAACAGTTTTTGCTGCAAAAAATGATAAATTACACGCATAAGAATCCTTTTAAGCCGTGCATGACTACAATCAAAAAGTAAATTCATAAATTGAGGAATTTCTAGTATGTTAAATTATTTATTTTAAATTAGTCATGTATTAGTCATGTTTTGACCTGTATTTGGTCGGACTGGGAAAAAAATAGAGTATTTTAAACTGCTAAAAGTTATAAAGTAAGCAGAAGCGAGCCTATTAAATTAAGTTTATTAATAAATATAACTTTTTCCTGCTTATTACTTCCTGCTCTTAGTCATTTAGCAACTTACACACGTTTTTCCATGGTTTGTAGTGCATAAAATAGTAATACATTAACCCTGAAGTAAATGCTGTTGATTAAATCAAAGTATCTCTATAATAATCTCCATAAATAAATCAAATCTTGAAGCAAGTGAAAACAGTCCATAGTTTTAAAAGGGAAGAATTTACATGCACAGGAAAAATAAATGACTACCTGCAGCTCCTGCAGACAAATTGAGGTCTTATGAAACAAAAATAATAGCTCTGTGCCAGAAACGGAACGTAATTTAAACATTATTACCTTTAATTAACAGCCTCTGCAAATGTTCCTGAGTGCATTAATGACAGTCTGAAGCAGAGTTCCTGTCGCATAATGATGCATATCAAATGATTGGGATTCTGTGAAGTCAATCTTCTAGATTCAAACAACGGATGTGAATGTAATTTTACTCTTTTTATATAGGCTGAAGCAACCAGGATAAACACAAGCACCATTTTACGAAACACTGCAACACACATCCTTCAGCTCATGTAGGAGTTTGAGCTCATGTATACATTATTATGCAACAGGAAGCTTAAGCTCTAGACTGTCATGTTCAGGACTGCTGGCTGAGGCTGTGGATTAAAGACAATAAATATTGTGTTAATGGTCTGTTTCTTGCACAGATTGATAATTTAATTTATAAGCACACAAGTGCATCATTTTTTGGCTCTCCAAGCATCAGTTGTCATTGACTTGCATTTTATGAATAATCAAGGCCACAGTATTAGCTAAAAAAAAAAAAAAACTTAATTAATGTTCTACCGAACAAAAATATCTACATCTTAAATCAGTGCTTCTCAACTGCAGTCCTCTGGACTCTTTGTTTTGCTGCATCCCAATTCACATACTTATACTACGCCCTAATAATATGTACTTTTTTTTTTAAAGGAAAAGTATACATACTTTTGAGTGTGTAACAGAAGAGTATGCAGGCTTTGGGACATACTACTTCCTCCTTAACAGATCGGTATGTTGCTTATAAGTCAATCATCCACACATCGTTCACATTTCTTTCATATTTAATTTCCTACCTTATTGGAGAAGCAGCAGCAGGTTAATCTGCCATTTGTTAGTCTTTCATGCAATGAAATCTCCTAAGGTCTTTGAATAATTATACAATCAGAAGTTACTGTCCAAACACATTTATATAAAGTTCACATTGTTGTTGTAGATGAAATATAAGACAGAAAATGTCATTTAAATATGTTCCAGTGGGCTAGATATTAAACCTCCCTACTTTATGGTTAGTCTTACATGTCCACCATGCAGGCCCGGATTAAGAACTCAGGGGCCCCTGGGCACATTGTCTTGTAAGGCCCCCTACCACCCCTATAGTTGAATTAAAAAAATAAGAATAATATAATAATTTTTAAATAAAACTAATCTATAATTTGTTGCCCACAAATTTAAATAAATGCTATATAGTACATATGTATTTATAGTCTACAAAGATTTAACTTATTTTTCAAAGCATTGAATAAAAGTATTAATAAAACTATATATATATATATATATATATATATATATATATGGTATTTTAATGTGAATTGCTTTTACAAACTTAAAGAATATTATTGCCATGGCATATAACGCACAATGCTTCTCCAATCCAGTTCTATGAATCTGAGTTCTATCAATCTGAGTTCTATCAATCTGAGTCTTTCATAATACAAACACTGATTTACTGTATCTCCTCCTCTCCCTGTATTTTCTCTACTCTTCTCGTGATGAAGACTTGATTATAAACCTGAAAGTATCCGAAATCACATACACTATACCTCTTTTCTCCCGTCTCTCTCCTCTTCTGGGCCTTTCTCTCTCTCTCTCCCTCTCTTTCTCCTTTTCTGTCTGTCTCTCACACGATGAATCCAGTCCGCGCTGCGCTGCCGTTAACCTCCTCCGCCTGGTTAATGCTAGCTTCTCATCATTTAAAGTTACCATAACGTCTTCTTCTGTACCCTCATTCTCCTGATCATAGGTCTGTTTAAAGATGGTGTGTATGGAAAATGCCTCAATGAAGATGCCTCCTCTCCTCTTTCTCTCGCGTTTGCTAAATCCACTTGTCCACTCATTTTTGATCTATGACAGATATAACGTTACACTACAGTCCGCTCAGTTTAGTGCGGGCTATTACAAAACTGACGTTTCCGCGCTTGACCAAATACAGCATTCTGTTTAGTTAAAGAAAAAAAGGCAGTTTAAATATAATAATAATATTAATGCGTGATCGCGATTTTTTTGCTCAGAGGAAATACAGTTGTCTGAGCAATATAGTTTTTGCAGAGAGGGAGGCACCTACAATAAGGCTAAACATTATTAAATACCCACGAGACACTTGTGACTTTATATCACATTTGCATTATTTTTTAAAAATGTTTCCTTCCTGATAAAAATAAATATATTTCCAATCTGATAAGTAATGGGGAGAAAAAAAGTAGCACGAGTTCAGCTGATGGTGGATTCGAACCGAGTTTATAATTTATCACGCCAAAAGATGTATATGTGCGCCTTACAAGAGCGCCACTTCACTCATCTTGTCTCTATCATTCAGGCAACGATGGCCGTAAACCCTGAAAAGCTTATTCCAACTAGATGCGCTATTTGCAATTAGCCAAAAAAAGACACTCCGAAATTGTCTTTTTTTTCTCCCCCCTTGCAGGGGCCCCTAGTGCGCACGGGCCCCTGGGCCTGTGCCCATAATGCCCATTGGTTAATCCGGCCCTGCCACCATGTTTGTAGTTTATTTAAACTTTTCACCCGCATTTGTAGTTCTAATCGAATTCACATCCAACACGCAGTGTATTGTGGCCAACATAAGCAGTTAGAGTATTGACGCTTCCACACTTAAAATTTTTACCGGGAATAGTCAACCATCCGGGAACCTTTGGCAAACTCTATTCAACATACTGCGATTTGACACATACTAATTCTATTTTCAAATACTATTTACGATGGATAGTATGCGAATTGGGAAACAGCATTAATTAGTTAACTTTACTTGTCTGCAACCGTAGGGAAATTTCATTTGCAGCATACACTCATGGAGACATCTGACATTTATATAAGTGAATCAGTTAAAAAACATGGTACCCCTACTCTAAATCAATATCCAGTCTACTTGCCATCAACTGCTATTGAGAGAGGATGAATTTAAAAACTTAATGTGAGACACAAAATGTGCAGGACAGAGGAGCCCTAGAACCGGAATTGAGAAGCACGGTCTTAGATGCTGTGTGACGGTTAGCAAATTATTATTATTTCCTGTTTTTCTGTGAACTACCCCTTCAAACTACTGAAGTAATGTGAAGAAATGTGAGATTTACTTAAAGGGATAGTTCACTCAAAAATGAAACCATACCAATTACTCACCGTCAAGTGGTTCCAAACCTCTCTTCTGTCGAACACCAAAACAGATAATTCAATGAAAGCTGAAATCCTGTAACCACTGACGTACATAGTAGGAAAAAAAAAAACATTAAGTCAATAGTTACAGGCCTACAGCTTTCCTCAAACCACCTTCCCTTGTGTTCAACAGAAGAAACTCAAACAGGTTTAGAGCAGAAGTTTCATTTTTGGGTGAACTAACCCTTTTAAAAATTAACAAAAGATCATTGTTTATTGATAAGGCTGATTAGAAATGTTGAACCTAACAGGAAGAACCTCCACATTTGTTAATCCCAAACAGTAAAACACCAGCCAATTAATCAGCTTATGCATCAGTCCATCACTAAATGGGGTTGTGTTGATACCACGGTTTCCACTTAACATGAACGATAAATACATAATGCCAACCCTCTTTCCTCAGTGTCATGGTTTCCATCGTCTTTTTTCCATTCTTGCTGTATTCATCTCCATCGGACCCTATGAAACACAGTTGGAGGAAGTGTGTTAAAGAGGGTATTTAAAACATGAGCACTAACTGTACACATCAATCTTTTTAAGCATATATGACCATCTTTTCCAAATCCGACAATTTATAGGGCCATCTACTGTAAACACTGAAAACATTGAATGTGGTGGTCCAGAATGTGGCAAGAGCCTGAATGCAACACAGTGAGACAAAACTAACAGAGAAAAAGGAGACCTACATTGACTTAGACATAGTGTTGCGTTTATTGGGGGTAATTCTAGGAGAACTGGCCAACTGTTTAGGTTTTATTCCACAAGATGTTCAATGCAACATGCAATCTGTGCCATGAACTGCTCATCTGTGAAGCACAAGCTCTCCTGTGGGTGGGGCCAAAATAAAAACTACCTGCAAATGAGCCCTACACTATTAATTGCGCTGAAAATGTGGCCGCAGACTAAAGCAGACGAGCGGCTTTAGAATGAGAGCGTTTGATACATTTGAAGTTCCAGACAAAACGAACACGGAACACGTTCTATTATGACGACACTGATCGGCGAGAGAGCGCAAGCGCGTAACCCGGCCGGCTTTAGGACCCGGCAGGTTCTTTGTTTGGGTAACATGGTTCGGGATGCCGTGCCTTTTCCACGAAATATAAAGCACATCCGCGAGACTTTTTGGCGGTGGATGGAGAAATACCGGCGACGAGGCGCTCACTCACCCTCCGATGCTGTCAGGTTGGCTCTTTCGGTCCAGACGCTCCAGCTTTGGCCCACGAAATCATCGAGACAAGGCACCCGCCGTTCCAGAGCAGCCATTACTTTAACTGCGCGTTCACGCACCGCCATCATCACTGCGCGGCAAGGCGCTGACGTCACGGCGCGCGCTCCCGTGGGCGGAGGGAGACCTACGTGCGCGCACTTGTTATGCGAAATTATTGTTTGTAATGATTATTAAATAAATATTAAATATCATTTGCATTTTGTTATTATATTTAATTTAATTTGGCTGAATTATTCTTTTCTTTAAACTCTTTAGCAATAAAAATGTACACATTTGTCATGCAAATACACTGAAATCTGAAAAAAATGACAACTGTTTTATAACGTGGAAAAATGAAATATAAAATGTTTTTATTGCTATTTTAATAGTAAAATTATTCATCCAGTATTATTCATACATTTTCTTTTGGGCTTAGTCTCTTTATTAGGGTCGTCACAGCGAAATGAAACGCCAACTTATCCAGCATATGTTTTACGCTGCGGATGCCCTTCCAGCTGCAACCCATCACTGGGAAACATCCATACACTCTTATTCACACACATACACTACGGTCAATTTAGCTTTCCCAATTCACCTATAGCGCATGTCTGGATTGTGGGGGAAACCGGAGCACCCAACCACGCCATCACAGGGAGAACATGTAAACCTCATTCAGAAATGCCAACTGACCCAGCTGAGGCTCAAACCAGCAACCTTCTTGCTGTGACGCGAATGTGCTACCCACTGCGCTGCCGTAATTCAGTGTTATTTATCCATTATATAAACGTTACAATAGAATATAAAAGTATGTGTAATTGTGTATAAAAATATCTCATAAAAACTAATTGTGTAATAAATAGGCCTGTGCAGAAATCTGCAGATTTTTAGCCCATCGTTGAGTCCATTTATTTACTTGTGTTAATGTTTGTAAACTTATATTTATTCAGTTTTTAATTTAATTTCAGGAATATTATTGACTAATGTGACAGTGTTCATACAATGCAGATTGTAAAGTAATATTTTCTGTCTTTTAGTAGAGATATTATATGAGAGACTTGCTCTGTTTACCAAATAAGTGGATCTGATTGGATTTGCATTTTAAACATTAATTAAATGTTAAAATGTATTATTTTATTTAATATATTAAGATTTTAGTTATGATATTCCCAAAATAATTCTTCATAAATTCACAGATTTTTTTATTTGACTAAATTCTGTGCAGAAATAGCAAAAAATATTTCCGCAGATTATGTCTGGCCCTAGTTACAGGGGCGGACTTAGTGGAAACCCTAAGCAATTTCAGGTATGGGCCCCTAGCATTGAAGCTCAAAACACTCTCTGTCTCTAAAGATATTTTTTTCTGTAGATTTTTTTGTAAATAAACTGCATGTTAAAATTTCATTCAACCTTTATCTTCATAATGTAAAATAAAAATAAAATGATGTAACGTTCCAGTAGGTGTCAGTAGGAAGCATGATTGCCTCACAGCAAGAAAGTCGCTGCTTTGAGCCCCGGCTGGGTCAGATGGAATCTGTGTGGAGTTTGCATGTTCTCCTCGTCTTCGCGTGGGTTTCCTCCAGGTGCTCCCCCACAGTCCAAAGACATGCTGTACAGGTGAAATTAATAAGCTAAATTGGCCATAGTGTATGTGTGTGAATGCAAGAGTGTATGGGTGTTTCCCAGTGTTGGGTTGCAGCTGGAAGGGCATCCACTGTGTAAAACATATGCTGGATAAGTTGGCGATTCATTCTGCTGTGGCAACCCCTGATGAATAAAGGGACTAAGCCGAAAAAAAGAATGAATGAATAAAGTTCCAATATTAATGCGGACCCCCCCTTTTTTTTAAAAAGAAGTAATAACAATAAAACTATAATGGTTATATAAAGATATACAACACATGTGGGTAAACATAAAAAAAAAGCTTAATGATTAATATTGTATTCTTGGCATTTGTCAGGGTCCTAATTCCCCAGGGTCCGAAGCAGCTGCTTACCTCGTATATTGGTTAAATCCGCCCCTGCCTAGTTATAAAATAAAACATCAACTTCAACACATGCGAAACAAATAACTTGATAACTTAAAGAAAAGACAAAAGCATGAAACAAACCTATGAATAATAATGAATTTTACCAATGGATAACATTAAAATACACATATTTCAATGAGATAATTTTAGATTAAAATGAAACAATTAAAAACAAAACAGAAAACAAATGGAAATGGAGTAAAATAACTAACGTCTATAAATAAATATCATATTATAATAAGCAGAAGAACACAGAAACAAAATATGTGAACATTATTTTTTTTCTCCAGTACAAACTGACCTTAGACTATTTCAATGTGGTCATGCCATTATCTGATGAACATTTACTGCTTGATACCAAACTATTTCATAACTGTAACAAGAGACAATTCATTCATAACTTAATGTTAAAACAGCCACCATTACATCATTTATCAATATATGGCTCTTTTTGCATTCTCAGAAGCTACAGAAATGAAAAATGTAAAACAGGAAATGCGTAGGGACCATTGATTTCGTTTACATCCCTCAAAAGTGTCTGTTCCATCCAAAAGACTGCATGAAAACCTAATATACAGTTGAAGTCAGAATTATTAGCCCCCTGATTTTTTATTTTTTTATTTTTTTTATATTTCCCAATTGATGTTTAACAGAGCAAGGACATTTTCACAGTATGTCTGATAATATTTTTTCTTCTGGTAAAAATATTACTTGTTTTATTTCAGCTACAATAAAAGCAGTTTTTAATTTTTTAAAAGCCATTTTAAGGACAAAATTATTAGCCCCTTTAAGCTATATATTTTTCCTGATAGTCTACAGAACAAGACATCATTATACAATGACTTGCCTCATTAGCCTAACCTGCATAGTTACCCTAATTAACCTAGTTAAGCCTTAAAATGTCACTTTAAGCTGTACTGAAGTGTCTTGAAAAATATCAAGTAAAATATTATTTACTGTCATCATGGAAAAGATAAAAGAAATCTGTTATTAGAGAAGTTATTAAAACTATTATGTTTAGAAGTGCGTTAAAGAAATCTTCTCTCCGTTGAACAGCAATTGGGGGAAAAAAATAAACAGGGGTGCTAATAATTCAGGGGGGCTAATAATTCTGACTTCAACTGTATATAAACAATGTAAATATACATGCATATATTTGTTAATTATTTTATTCTGTACGTAATCTGTTATTTTCTTGTTAAATTAGTAGTTTAAATTAATGAAAGCGCAGAGGCAATTCACGTTAATCGATTTTTCTGAAGAAACACGTACAGTATGAGACACCAGCGTTAGTAGTCGATGGATTTATTGCGCTTACAACACCACCATCTAGTGGTTTCATGTAGGAAACAGCAGTTTGTTTTCCGAAATAAAAACACAAACCAATAGCCAATATATATTTACAGCTCTCCTCTTTTAATACTAACCAAAACTGCAAACAGCCCTTCTGGAGATTTTCCTTCTGAACTTAGAGACACAATAGAGATACAAAACACAAGAACAAGAACAAACGAAGGCCCGTTTTTATGTTTGTCAAAACCAAATGAGGATGACCACAATGCCCCTTTTAACTTTTTCTCCTCTTTGTTATCACTAATGAACCCAAACGACATTGCTATAATCCTTTTTATATTAATTCCAATGGTCTACTATTTAAGCTAAATTCACATACCAGGTTATTGGATTAAAACGTTCAGATTTGGCAGTAAATGCTCCTCTTACATTTGAAACAACTACTAGAGGATATAATAAAAAAGGTTTAACTGGTGATATAAAATTAAACTAATAACAATCATACACTGCACACAGACAATCACCGTAATTGAACAATTACTCAATTTTTTTTAGGATCAAACTGAATGCAATACAACAAAGGTTTCTCCTGTAAAAAATAAGATGGTAAAACATGCACAGATGCTGTAAATATACACATAAACCCATGTGACGCTTCATTTACAGTTTCAAGTCAGCTGAATACAAACAAAAGACAACATTACTACTCTGAACAGTAGAAAAAACTATTAAACAAGTGTTTGCTTTCTGTCGAACAATGCCTAGTGTTGAATAATCAACAGACTTTTCCTGATGGCATAAGAAATATGGCCTTTGGTGTAGTGTTTTTTTTGTGTAATTTTTAAAAAAAAAATAGCACTTAAACTGATGCAAACATCTTTAAAATAAAAGGCTGCATGCTAAATATCAGATTATTATGGCTGTAATCAGGAGGATTTTCTTTTGTTTGACTTTACTTGACAAATCGAACTCAGATGTGTGTTTTGGGTGTGCAAAAAACATCCCGTCATGAACGTAAATGAAAAGGCACCAATAAATAGATGTTAAAACTCCAAGGAACAGCAAGCTTTCGATGTCTAGAGCTAGAAATTAGTGTGATAATAGTGTTTTAAGTGCTCGTTTTTCATAAAGTCTGATTGTAGTGGATATTTAGAATTATGAAATCACAGGTCATCAATTAGAAATATTAATAATAAAACAAAAAGCATATTAAAGTTGTAAGATGTCACCGAATTGATATTAATCTAATAGATAGGGCTCAAACTCAGTCCAGGAGGGTCGCAGCTCTGCACAGTTTTGCTCCAACCCTATTCTAACACAGCATGTCCAACTAACCAAGGTGTTCAAGAGTAGCCCTTTGATTAGGGCTGGAGCAAAACTGTGCAGAGCTGCGGCTCTCCAGGAATTTAAGTTGCTTTCTGTTAAAGAATGCCTAGTGTTGAATTATTAACTTATTTTTCCTGATAGCATAAGAAATATGGCCTTTGGTGTAGTGTTTTTTTATTATTTTCTTAACCAAATAGCACTTAAACAGACGCAAACATCTTTAAAATATAAGGTTGAATGCTAAATATCAGATTATTATGGCTGAAATCAGGAGGATTTTCTTTCGTTTGATAAATCAAACTCAGATGTTTGTTTTGGGTGTGCAAAAAACATCCTATCATGAACAAATGAAAAGGCACCAATAAATAGATGTTAAAACTCCAAGGAACAACAAGCTTTCGACATCTAGAGCTAGAC